GTCTGAAGCCACACTGATAAGGTCTAATCAGTTTGTTAACGGTGGGCTTTAATCTTTCATACAATACGCTCGATAGAACCTTATATGCGATATTGAGGAGGCTTATCCCACGTTAGTTGGCGCAGGTTGTGGGGTCTCCTTTCGTGAGGATTGGGCATAGCACACTCAAGTGCCAATCGTTGGGCACGCTTTCGTCCGACCATATTTTACAAAGAAGCTGATGCATGCTGCTTATCAGTTCTTCGCCACCGTGTTTGAATAGCTCGGTCGGCAATCCATCGGCCCCCGCCGCTTTGTTGTCCTTCAGGCTGGTAATTGTTATTCGAACTTCTTCCTGGTCGGGCAATGGAACGTCTTCATCGTCGTCGATTGGGGCATCGGGTTCGCCTTCTCCTGGCGTTGTGCGTTCCCAGACATTCAGCAGGCTGGAGAAGTGTTCCTCCATAATTTAAGTATGCTCTGGGCATCGGTCACTAGATCACCTTTGGGGGTCCTACAAGAGTATGCTCCGGTCTTGAAACCTTCTGTAAGCCGCCTCATTTTTTTCGTAGAATTTTCGAGCACTACCCCTATCGGCCAGCTTATCAAGCTCTTCGTACTCACGCATTTCGGCCTCTTTCTTTTCTGTCTGCAAATACGTCTCGCTTCCCTCTTCAACTATCGGTATCTATCCCATCCCGCACGTGTTGTAGTCGATAGTGACGTTGAGAGGTAGGCAGCCTGTTTTCTCTCCGCTGCGACATGGCACTCCTTGTCGTACCAGCTGTTCTTTTTCATTTTCGACAACCAATTGTTTCGGTTGCGGCTGTACGTAAGGAGTTTGAGATGCCGTCCCACAGTTCCCTTATACCGAGTTGTTGGCGAGTGCTCTCAGAGAGAAGGTGTGCAAGCCGAGTAGAAAATTGTTCGGCTGTATGTTTTGATTGCAGCTTCTCGCCGTCGAACGTTCTTTGTGTTTGTTAGCGTGGGTTTTTTCCTGCACAGAGGCGGTTGCGAATCTTGGCTGCAACAAGACAGTGATCCGAGTCGATGTGACGACCTCGGAGCGCACGCACATCTAAAACATTGGAGACGAGTCTTCCGTCTATCACAACATGATCGATTTGGTTGGWGGTTTTTCGATCCGGAGACAGATGCTGGAATCTAGTACTACAGATAACCATATTTCGGGCCCCGACGATGTCGATCACCCTCAAGCCATTTGGATATATTTCGTTGTGGAGGCTGAATCTACCGAGCTTAGTGCCAAAGATACCTTCTTTGCCCACCCTGGCGTTAAAGTCGCCAAGCACGATTTTGACATCTAAATGGCGGGGGCAGCTCTCATAAGTGCGCTACAAGCACTCATAACAGGCATCTTTGATCACATCGTCCTTCTCATCCGTCAGGGCGTGGGCGCAAATCAGCGATATGTTGAAGAACCTCGCTTTGATGCGGATTGTGGCTAGACGTTCATTCACCGGGGTGAATGATAGTA